ATTTCTGAATTCTTTACCCACCATACATATCAAACCAGAAATAGAAATTTAAACGATATTATACCAAAAAAGGAAAAAACCATTGGCCAACGTTGCATTGATTTTTTGGGACCAAAATGTTTAATTGCTTACCATCTACCATCAAAATAATAAACAACTAAAATTTAAAAAAAAAAATAAAAACGAATGGATCCATGGTAATAGATATAAATTGTATGAATGTAATAAACAGCTATTAATGAGCTTCAATTTCAAATAAATGTTATATTTTTAAATTTATGTTATAGTATATAAACAGTTTGTATGTTACTACTAAGAATTTTATAATTGTAATTAGTCGAATATGTTAAAAATTCAACCCTCACGTACAAGTTTAGTCCATGTGACAACCACAACTTCTGTGAGTAACTGGTTTATTTATTGTATAAAATATGTAAATTTATACTGTAACACATTATTTTGTTAATAAATAAACTCTATTATTAGTATTATTATGTATATATATATATATAAATATATATATATGTTATATAAATATATATAAATATGATATATATAATATATATATATATAATATATGTAATGTAAATATGTATTCTATTAATAGAATAGAAAAGTGCATCGAGTACAATATACCACTGGTTCTTTGCATTTGTCGATTACGAGAAGCTTTTGATTCTGTAGATTTGAAACAATACTGGAAGCCCTAAATCAAAGCCGAATAGATTACAGGTACACGACACTAATCAAAAACATCTATCAAATGCTACATCAAGTATACGACTGCACAAGACACAGAAAAATTCAGCTAGGTCGAGGAGTTGGACAAGTGAGACAATATTCACCAAAATTGTTCACGGCAGCTCTAGAGTCAATATTTAAGTGGTACTCAATGGCAAGATATATAAACAACTAAAATTTTAAAAAAAAAATTAAAACAATGATCCATGGTAATAATATAAATTGTATGAATTAATAAACAGCTATTAATGAGCTTCAATTTCAAATAAATGTTATATTTTTAAATTTATGTTATGTATATTAAACAGATTTGTATGTTACTACTAAGAATTTTTATAATTGTAATTTGTGCGAAATATGTTAAAAATTCAACCCTCACGTACAAGTTGTAGTCCATGTGACACACAACTTCTGTGAGTAACTGGGTTGTATTTATTGTATAAAATATGTAAATTTATAATCGGTAACACATTATTTTGTTATAAATAAACTCTATTATTATTATTATTATGTATATATATATATATATATAATATATATATATATAATATAAATAATTTGTATATAAAATATATATATATATATATATATATATATATATGTAATATGTAAATATGTATCTATTAATAGAATAGAAAAGTGCATCGAGTACAATATACCACTGTTCTTGCATTTGTCGATTACGAGAAGGCTTTTGATTCTGTAGTGTTTGAAACAATACTGGAAGCCCTAAATCAAAGCCGAATTAGATTACAGGTACACGACACTAATCAAAAACATCTATCAGAATGCTACATCAAGTATACGACTGCACGAAGACACAGAAAAATTCAGCTTAGGTCGAGGAGTTGACAAGGAGACATATATTTCACCAAAATTGTTCACGGCAGCTCTAGAGTCAATATTTAAGGGTACTCAATGGCAAGATATGGGCATCAATATAGATGGAGAAAGATTAAATCACCTAAGGTTTGCAGATGATGTTGTATTAATCGCAGATAACTTACAGATACAGTTTCTATGATGCATTCGCTTAAAAGTCTGTCTGAAAGAGCAGATTAAAGATAAACTTTGAGAAAACTAAAATTATAACAAAATCTCGTAATGAGTGAAATATAACTATTGATCAATAATACCATACAACAAACAGACACTTACAAATATCTGGGACAACGAAATCAAAATAAGCAGAGACAATTCAAACACATGAAATACAGAGGCGAATAGGTCTAACATGGGCAGCATTTGGCAAATTAAGCCATATTCTAAAAAGTTCAATTCCCATGTGTCTCAAGCGAAAGGTTTATAACCAATGTGTTTTACCTGTACAAACTTATGGAGCAGAGACTTTAACACTCACGCAAAAATCTGCGAATAAAATAGAGTTACACAACGAGCCATGGAACGTGCAATGCTGAACGTGAGCCTTCGAGACCACATAACAAACCAACAAATCAGACGAAGATCAGGAGTTCAAGACGTCATCGAAAGAACCACGACGCTTAAGTGGAACTGGGCAGGCACTTAGCCAGAACACAAGATGGACGGTGGACAAGACGTATTATGGAATGGAGGCCCAGAAATTATAAAAGAAGCCGAGGACGACCACCGACTAGATGGACCGATGACATTAAACGTGTAGCGGGAAACTGTCTACAAGCGGCCCAGTGTAGAGAACACTGGAAAGAACTGAGGGAGGCCTATGTCCAGCAGTGGACGCGATTGGCTGATTGATGAAACCTGTGTTCAGGCTGGACACAATGGTTCGTGAATCAATTCGTTGTTGCCATCACAGACAAAGGAATTTCAGTAAATTTAAATAAAACGTAAGACGTAAAAAATAACGTTCAATAATGTATAAAGTTTTTTAATAGGTATTATTTTTATTATTAACAACAAAATACCGTATCAATAATTTAATAACCAGAAAGAGGACTGAGCTAATGTCCAAAATGTTGAACAATATTTAAACTTAGGGTATTGGATCAGGAAACATTGGAATGCATCTACTGTAATTTTATACTTCAATTACTTACAGAACACAAACTGTTAACTGTTATCCTACGTAGATTATAAACTATAAAATATCCGGGGCGAAAAACGCTTTTTAAAACGTGACAGTATTACATTATCCTCTTATAACTGTTAAAGATCCTCTTATAATCGAAAAATGTTGGTTTAGTATCTACAGATGTTATCAGTGCGTGAAAACTTCCCGAACATATCGGAACAATTAAACATAAATATTAAACATAAAAAATATTGCTTGCCATCAGTCAAATTTGACAAGTTTGTCACAGTGAATTTTTAAAGATGCCACGTCAGTTAAGTTTGATAAAACGAGAATAATTTCAAAATAGAAGATGATTGTCTATTCGAGAACTGGCTCAAGAGTTAAATAGAAGCAAAACCACAATCCACAACATTAAAAAAAGATTTGAAAACGACAAGACTTTGGATAGAAGGAGAGGGAGTGGGAGACCAGTTATTACTACAGCCCAACAAGATGAAATATTAACTAATTATTTGATAGCGTATCCCTTCCATACTGGCAAGGCAAGCAAAAGCTAATACAAACTTCAATGCTTCTATAACTACAGCATTAAAGAGAATTAGAAGAACATCTTTTAAAAATTTGTGCAGCCGCCAGAAAATACAAATTTAGCGAGGAACATAAACAAAGTAGACTCCTATTTGCTTTAAATTACATTTTAAATGATCCAGACAATTTTTGGACCATGTAATTTTTACTGATGAAAAAGTATTTCAGTCTCATTATGATGGCCATATTAGGGTTTATAGACCGCCTCGAAATAGGTTTAACGAAAACTATAATTTCATCAAGTGATAAGTCTGGACGGTTCTCTATAAATTGTTTGGGCTTGGATGTATAGAGGAGGTTTAGGAATGTGTTGGAGAATTGAAGGACGATTCTGTGATGTTGATGTGATGTTGCCATCGGTTAGGGAAATTTTCCCCAACAATAATTTTATTTTCCAGCACGATAACTGTTCAATCCACACAGCCCACCGTGTACAGGCATTACCTGATTGAAAATAGCACAAAATACAAAAATTAAATGTATTTTCCCAAAACAGAGATTATTTATGGACCATCATTGAAAAACCTGGAAAGCTTGGCCGAAAATGAAAATTTGTCACTAAATTTAATTAACTCAGTTCCCAGAAGATTACAAGAAGTGAATAATAATAATGGAGCTATGACAAAATATTAACTTTTCGAATTGTAATACATATATTTAAATCCCACACTTGTTCACTGTAACAATTATTCATTTTTTATTAATTTTAAATTAAATTTTAATTTTTTTCCAGTGGGTTTTATTTACTGTAGTATTCCACAACTCAATAAAGTTTTGTGCTACACTTTACGAGAAAACAATCACAACTCTCGATTTAAAATTAAACATAAATTTAAAGTCATGTCTAGATTATTATCTATCATTATTTTTGAATTGAATATTTTCATAAATTATAATAAAACAACCGAATCAATGTATGGGTACTGAGATAATGGAAAATTTCATAATTAATAGAATATTTTAAGATGTATATTTAAATAAATGTATAAATATAAATACTGATGACTGACTGATCGAGAATACTTGATATTGTTTTAGTTTTTAGTATACTAAAAACTTGCGACCTGTGGCACAGCTGTGCTTTTAGCTGGTTTGATATAATATTTTCGTAGAACTGGCAACGTTGCCTTCATAATTAGAATGACACATGTGACAAGCTCAACTTACACAACTTGAAAAACACGATTTTCGGTTATAAGAGTTGTACCAGTTTTTTATGACGGGAACGGTACATTCATTGCATATTGTTATGGTTTATAGTTTTTATTAATTATTTACTGAATTACGATAATTATGTTATTTATTAAGTTATTTCTACTTACGAAAATTGAATGTATTTCCGAAATTTGAAGAAAACTATAAATATCTATGAAAGTAATAAATTTAGATATAGGGAATGCTTGTTAAAAATTAAAGAGTACATATCATAAATGGCATATTTAAAAAAAAATAAAATATTTTATGCAGAAACAATATTACAAAATTTCTAAAAAACGCCCACCCCTTTCACCAATTGTAAATTAATTACATAATTGCAACCTAAGTGTAAATTAATACAATGTAAATCGGCATGACGGTAATAAACCTGAGTATTTGATGCGACAGAAATTATATAAAAAAAACCTCACCCATTGATAAATAAAAAATTATTTTTTAGGATCAACGGGGCTCAACAGGGCCACTTAATGGTAAAATAATCGAAACCAAAGGTCAATTAAAGTTTGGTTGGATTCAAGGGGTGCTGATAAGATGCCTGTTAAATATTTGGGGTGTTATGCTGTTTCTTCGGCTGACGTGGGTCGTAGGACAAGCAGGAATTGGTAAGATCAATGTCTAGTAATTTTTTCTAATACGAATTAAAAAACTGGTAAAATAACATAGTAAATGTTATTTTGTAGTAAAAAGTTTGTCCATCTATCCAATATATTTTATTATAGAACTAGGCTCCTTATAGTCATTATTTCAATGATTGTTGACACTTTCCCAGTTGGCAAGTATCTTTATATCTGTAATATCTTTCATAATTCCATTGGTTTCGGTCATTCAGAAGGTACTATTTTATTTCTCTCACTTTAATATCCTTTTCGTCTCTCCCCCTCCAACTGAATCTCTCTGAATCCCTTCTTATATCTTCCCTGCGATGTTCAGGGTTAATATTTTTGCTATTCTGGTGTCATTCATTCTTTGTACCTGCCCGTACCATTTTGGTTGATTCTGATGTCCTCTGTTATTCTATGTTTAACGCCCATGATTTCTTGAATTCTCTCAATTCTTACTCTGTATAATTTTGATATACCGACCGCTCTCCTCCAATATTACATTTCTTTTGCTTCCAAAGCCATTATGGCTTTCTCCTTCAGTGGCCATATTTCACTTTCGTATTTACCAATGCTTTTGACAATGCTACTATATATTCTGTATTTATTTTCTCCCGAAATTGTTTTATGTATTCAGTATGCTGTTCAATTGCCGAATGACTTGTCTTCCATAGATATTTCTATGTTTAAATTCTCTTCAACCAAATTGCCGTCATTGATTATGTGTATGCCTACACATTCATACATTTTACATCATTTATTTGTTGATGCTGCTCTTCCAAAATTAGATTTTATTGTTCTCCTTATGGACACATGTATTGTTTTTGTTGACATTTGCTTCTAAGCCCCATTTCTGATATTCCTGATGAAGTTTGCGTATCATATACTCTAGATCTTCGTAGTCGTGAGCCAGGACTTTTTGGTTGTCTGCAAAACATAGTATGTACAATGTGGTGTCGTTTAGAGATATTCTTATTCACCACTACATTTCCTTTTCCACATTTTCAGCGCTTGCTCCCAGTAGATCTTAAACAAAGTCGGGGACAGGCACACAGACAGCATCCTTGTTAAAGTCCTTTGTCCAGCACAAACCCTTTGGAAATCTCTTGGCATATTTTTAAGTTGCTCGTGTTGTTTTTATAGAGTTCTTGCACTATATTTATAAACATAAAAGATATAAGTCATCCACAAATCATATAATCAAATAAATATATGACATGTTTCAAACTTTATAATGAAAAAATAAAGAAGTGACTATAGACGGAGAGAAACTGAAACCATCGGAGATTCGCAGATGGTATTACATTACATTATTATATTACCCTACTAGCAACAAGATAAGACAAGAAATAAAGAGGAGGTTAAATCTTATGTATACTTTGTATACAGGCCGATAGTATAAAGGCCGATTTGACAATGTTTCAAACTTTATTAATGAAAAAATAAAGAAGTGACTATATGACCGGAGAGAAACTGAACCATCTGAGATTCGCAGATGGTATTACATTACATTATTTATATTACCCTACTAGCAAAAAGATAAGACAAGAAATAAAGAGGTTAAATCTTATGTATACTTAGTAAAAGCCGTTTTGAATAGAAGATCTTCTAACCAAAAGTCTTTCTTCTTCTTCTAAGGTGTCCATCTTCTAACGAAGTTTGGATATCACATGGCAATTTTTTTACTTACAGCAGTTCTAAATAGTTGGCTAGAGCTCAGACTAAACCATTCCCTTAGATTTCGTACCAGGAGGTTCGTCTTCTTCCTACATCTCTTTTACCTTTTTATTTTGCCCTCTATAATCAAACGTAGTAGCCCATAACGAGATCTCTTAATATATGACCGAATACATTCAAGTTTCCGCCTCTTAATTGTCTGTACAATTTCTTCCCTCTTATTAACCCTATCAAGGACTTCTTCTTCTTCTTAAGGTTCCATCTTCTAACGAAGGTTGGATATCAACATGGCAATTCTTATTTTACTTACAGCAGCTCTAAATAGTTGGCTATAGCTCAGACTAAAACCATTCCTTAGATTTCGTAGCCAGGAGGTTCGTCTTCTTCCTACAATCTCTTTTACCTTTTAATTTTGCCCTCTATAAATCAAACGTAGTAGCCCATAACGAGGACCTCTTAATATATGACCGAAATATTCAAGTTTCACGCCTCTTAATTGTCTGTACAATTTCTTCCCTCTTATTAACCCATCAAGGACTTCAATATTGGTAATTTTGTCTACCCATGCTATTCGTAGCATCCTCGATAATCACCAACGCTCAAAAGCTTCCAATTTCTTAATCTCCAGTTGTTTTCAATGTCCATTCGCCTCAGATCCGTAGAGCAAAGTTGTAAAAATTAGCAGCGCAATAACCTTATCCTTAGATCCATTCTTAGGTCTCTACTACACATAGATGTTTCATTATTTACAAATTTTGCCCTTGCTATTTCTATACGGCTCTTAATCTCTTGCGTTTGTTCTGCGTTTTGACTAACCAACGTTCCAGATATTTGTATTTATCCACCCTTTCTATCTGGATATTATTTAATATGGAGTGTCTCGTTGTCTTTTTGGATGTTTTGTAATGACCATTGAATTTGTTTTCTTTAAGTTCATTTTAATACCATATCTGGTACACTTTTCATTTCAGCCGTTCCAGTATGTTGTTAGACTTTGCAGAGTTGAAGGAATATGACAGTACATGGCATATCTTATATATATTATAATTTCTCACCATTTATTATCATTCCATCGTTAACACATCTCCTAAAGCTTCTTGGAAAATGGCTTCGCTATATATAATGAAACAGCAGAGTCTTTGAACAAGTACAAACTATCTTTAATTTTAACCTTCCAAATAATCTAAAAGTTAAAGCTTTAAATCATTATGTACTGCCAGTTCTCACTCATGGAACTGAAACGTAAGCTTTTAACAGCAGCATAATTCATAAACTTACCAAAGGGACACAAATTTATCGATCACACCGTTTTTGGTAATATATACCATTCGAACTTGTTTTCTACAAATAAAATGAATCTGTTAATTGCACATTAAGGCAAAAGTAACAGCGCCTAAAATACGTATGATTTATTGCTTTAAATTGTAAAGAAAAGTGCTTTCAATTAAAAACACTCTGCATTTACTTTAAAATTTGACTAAAACAAGATTATTAAACACAAGGATAGTCAGTGAGCGTCGGCATTTAATACTTGCTCAAAAGGTAGGTGCTGTCAGTACGATTAAGGCTGTAATGTAGCATAGCAAGGAAATAAAAGAAATAAAAAAATAAGGTGTAGTTAGCCTAGAAGAGTAATAATTATTTAAATAATTATTATATAGTCCCAAATTGAATAAAGAACAAATAATTCGCCATAAGTTAACGTATACATTTCCAAAATTAAACAAAGGATGAAAATTCAACCTATTTAAGTGTATTGCACAAAGTTTCGATATCAGGTCGCTACGAATGTTTAAAAATTACGAAACATAGACCTTCGTTGGAAAATAATACAATACAAACGATATCGACATGCCAACAATGAGAATTTAGCTGAGCTAGCAAGCCACACGACCGCATGATGCGTATGTTTTAGCACGTGGAGAGAAGGCTCGATCAGCATAAACTCGAGACGCCTCGGTACTGCGATGGTAATTGAGGTACGGTGCATAAAAAGGAAGTAAGTTTAGCCAGAGGTCATAGTTGCCCGGTACCCGTGAGTGCTTAATGCCAGAAGTGCTGGCGACCGGGCAATAATTACGCGGCACCAGTGAACACGTTAATGTAGTCCGACAGGACAGTAGTACCGTATACGTGCCGGTTAGTGTATCTCTAAAAATTTGGGGTAGTGTACGGTGCTTCAACAGACGGATTCTGAATTCCATTTGGACCGAAAAGGCGTATTCATTACACAAAACGTATTCAAAAGGCGTATTCAAAACTAACCACAATTACATATAACTGATATCTTGTTGTCTTAGTTATAGTATACAGTTTATTTAATACATTGTAAACTCGAAATTTGGTTTTAGTGTTCTTTCCCGGCCGTTTAAAGGTACAGACTAGAAGGAAACACTTTTCCCCTTATTCATTTCTCCGCTTCTAAAGCAAGCCCATAGACTTAACTCTTTACAGGGCCTGAAACCTAGATGATTTCTATCCCCCTCCTATCCTAAATTTTCCTACCCTCTTGAAAATCCGCGAGGGCGAACCATGTCCGTTCAGACTAGGGGAACTAGTAAAGCCTTGCCTCCGCTCGCAGGGATAAGTATCCCCTAAAAAAATTATAGACAACATTTATTTCAGGTGGTGACTGGCGTCCTTTTACAAGGCTGGTCTTTCATAAGCTGATGTTGCACGTCGATATGAACAATCTGGTAATGTCGCTGTAATACATAAAGGTCGTCAACGTGAAACTACCCTTCGACAGAATCTGTACGTGGTAGGAGTAGCTCGTCGAAATGTGCATATAACTGTACGTGAAGTCTGTGGGGCCTTAGAAAATACCCACAACATTACTGTGTGACCAAATTTTGAGAAAGTTATTATATGAAGCTGATCTGCACGTCAGATGCCAATTGAGGGTTCCCATGTTACGTCATGTAAATCATGGACTCAGATTAAGGTGGGCACAATAACAGTGCATTGGGGAATACAAAAATCGGGTTTTGTGTTATTCACATAAGTATGAGTTTTATCTCTACCCCTGAATCAAAAAATAGTGAGAGTTTGAAGAGAACCTAATCGACAAGAGAGACTCGGGTATACACTTATACTCAGGGTGTATCCATATAGAGATTCTACAGGTTATGATGTAGACTGAAATAATTTTTCATCATTGAAAAATTATCTCGTTTTTTGTGGATGGCTACTGTGGGGCAAGATTAACATGCAGGGTAATGCATCATACTTATACTTTTACCTTGGCCAGCACAATCGCCAGATCTTAATCCCATCAAGCATGTATGACATATGCTTCAGAGACGGATTCCTCCTCATCTGCACAATATTAATACTAGACAAGGTCTTCAAAGATCTTCTAATAATATAAGAATGCATCAAAACGAAATTGATATTTTAATTTTTACCATGCCAAGGCCGTGTCAAGCTGTAATTAATGCTAGTTGGAGGAAATACAGAATATTAAACATATTTATTGTTAGATTTCTATGTTTTATATTGACTTTTATGTTCATTCCATATTCCATTAAGTATTGCAACTTCTTAACTTTTGTTTTATTGTTGCTTCGTAAAGAAATTATATATTACACTGACATTAAGATGAGAACACTTTATATATTTTTATTGTTGGCTTGACTTAAAAATAAGTACAAATTCTAACATGATGATTATTTGGCCTTTTCCAGGACAGTCCATTGTACTAATATTGACTACAACTGTAGTAACGTCAATAACGGCGCTTTCAATGTCAGCTATAAGTACAAATGGCGTTATAAAAGGAGGTAAGTACCTAGGTAATTAATTTTTAGTCACATGTCTCAGATATTTACAGTTAAGGTCAAACCGTAGTGGGTCAGCTTATTCAAGGATTAGTTTCCATTCCTGGTCATAATTTTCCAAATATATTTAGTTTTTCTTCCTCTTCTTTCTTAAATCTTGCTCTATGCCTACCCATCTTTCTCATCCTATCCGACCTTTGGTTATAATATAAAACAAACAATGTGATCTCATAAGCGTTTTCATTTGATATATTGTTTGGAGTATAAACATTGATTTTAGCAAATCATATATACTGTATTTCACGAATTTGCGACTGTTTTGGATGATCGCTGGACCCTCGACAGCCAATGGTCCACTGTACTGTACAGCATAAGAATATCAAAGTTATATTGTTCTAGTAATGAAAATATGAAACAAGTTATTTCTAAATTTAATTAAAAAAAATCTTTTTATAATTTTTTTTATCAAATTATAAAAAGTTATTTACAGTACAACCTTTTCATATAATTCATGTTCACTGCACATTTTACGCAGAAATGTTTGTTTGTCTAGCAAATTTACTTTTTTGTTCAACATTAAAGACAATTCCATGTTAACTAATAAGGTTATGAAAATAATTAGATTTTTTACTAATTCTTAAATACATTACTGTAAAGCAATATTGTTTTCATTTTCTCAATTAAGAATTTTTTTTTATTGAAATTTACGTGTATACTAAAAAATAATATATTTCTTAATTGAGTAAATGAAAACATATTGCTTTACATTGGAGTAAATACTTTAGAACTTAAAATGTATAAATCAATAGAATTTGATATTGTCTTCTGATTTTTGCATAATGATTAATATATTTCTTTAACTCAAAGGTCAGCAACTAATTTTGGGTGGGTCCAGATATATTTTAAAATAGGGTTTAAGAGGTTCAGGAAAAAAAATTGGCAATACTTCATTAGACGCTTCCATCGAATAAATCAACATCAACGCATTAAATTTAATTTTTGATTTGAATAAACAGGTGTATATTTTTAAAATCAATCTGAAAAATTCCACTTGTGTTCTTGAGCCAGTTTTTTAAAAGTAGATTCACGCTGGAAGTAACTATATGCGAATAGTGTCATTACGGTGAGCGTTTGTCAATATTGATCGATATTTGTTCTTCAAAAAATTCATTTTTAAAAACGAAGTTTCACAAAGAAATGGACCAAACTTGCAACAAAATGTCTTCCTGCAAGTCTATAATCTCCATTTGAAGCAAGGTTTTGCAATGGGGAACAAATTTGCAGTCACATTCGTTCTATTCTCCTGCTGAAGGAACTGCAAAAGGCGCTTTTTACGTATGCGCGATAATTTTCCTCTGCAAAGTCTTCAAATCTTCCTGCCAATTCCTTTTTAAGACAATCGATGAAATCTAAAAATATTGAAACGAGTTGTTGGAAGAGTGAATTATTAGTTCTTGACTTGCAATGTTATTTGGAGTTAGCAACAGAACGGGGACACACTTTGTATCAGATCACATATTAATTTCTCATTTCCTTGCAGTTCGGTATTGAGCATATTTTAAGTGTTGCAAAATGTCTTTCAGAAAAGCCACAACGAACATACTTCTTTCGTTTGCCAGGAACTTCAAATAATTTATTGCTTCTTGGGTATTTAATTTTCTAAGAATCAGTAGTTATTTCTTATTTTATTTGCCAAAAACGTTCAATCACTACTTAGCTAACGAACATTGCTGTGTGGAAATAATCAGAATACTTTGAATTACACTCAGATAAAAAAACTTTGAACTGCCTGTGCTGAGAGAGACAGAACGAGCCTCATAAAATGAATCAACTTGATTAAGTTGCTCATTATCACTTTCAGAATGTCACCAAGTTCCCACATAGGGCTCCTGGTGGATTATGCGTTGATATTTAAGGATGGTAGTTTAGCATTATTTTCTTTGATTCTCTTTACAAGCCCCCTTTCTTTGCCGATCATAGCTTTGACTTTACCAGTTGATAGAGATACAATTTTATCGTGACTTTTGTTTGATTTTGTCATAAACTTATCAAAACTCTGGAGTAAAAATCTTCATGAGTCTGGCCTGTAAACGGCAAGACACATGCAATTCTTCTCTAAATATTTTATTTTCAATATCATGAAATCTCACGAAAAGAAACATTTGTTCGTCGTCAAACATATCACATGACTCATCAAGTGCTACGGAGTACCAAGCACCTTTTGCGGAAGTTCGAGCAAACCCCTTTTTCATTGTCTGCAGCCAATATTTCGCTTTTGCCGACAATGGAATACCTTGAATTGCGGCAACAACATCCTTTTTATTGTGCTGCAGCTAGCATACATTTTTTAACTATCTTAGGGTCTAAAATGGTTTCTGGTGTTTATTGAGTGTTCAAGTACCCGTAAAGCTGCGCCTGCAGATTTTTCTTGCTCGCTCATACTTCGAAGTAGTATGGATGTGCTTTTTTGTAAGAAGTTAGATATGTCTTCTTTAATGTCTCTTTAAAATACTAAAGAAAAGATCATAAGAAATCAGATCGATTATCATAACAATTGACGAGATGTACCGAAATTCAATCAAAATAACTAAAACACTACCTGGAGCAGATGTCCCCTCAGATCATAACTTAGTAATCAGTGACATAAAACTCAAACTTAAAATAGTAAAACGCCAACAACCGACTAACCGAATAAACACTGACTGCATTCAAAATAATAGTCATGAAATTACACAAGAATACAGAAAGAAGTTCGAAAAATAGAAAAAAAACACATAACGTCGAAGACCACTGGAATCATGTCAAAAGCATTATGCAAGAAACAACTAAAAATACAAAACTATAATAATCGCAAACAACAATAATGACTGATGAAATATTGGGATTAATGAAAAGCAGACGAAACAGAAAAATAAAAACACTGAAGAATACAATAATTCATAAGAAATCAGAAGGAAAATCGGGATGCAAAGGAAAAATGGTACAACAGACAAATGTCTTGAAACAGAAGAACTGCAGAAAAAGAATGACAACGTTTAATATGTAAAAAAGGTGAAATAAATAACTAGAACATATAGATCAACTGCAAGTAGTTTACTTGTAAACAAGGAAATATACTCAATAAACAAGACGATTAGAGAGGTGGAAAGAATATATTAAGGAGCTGTTTGATGATGATAGAATAGAAATCTAAATTTAAAATATATCGATGGTCCAAACATAACACTCGATGAAATGGTAAAGATCTGTAAAGCTATCAAAGAATAGGAAAGCAACCGGTCCAGATGAAATTTCCAAGCGAAATAATCAAACTGCTCGACGATAAGGGCAAACATTCTCTTCTAAACCTCTTTAATAAAATATACGAACAGGACATATACCAATAGACTGGCTACTGTCAACATTTGTAATAATACCGAAAAAATAAATGCAAACAGTGTAGCGATCATCGCACTATCAGTCATGATGTAGAAAATTTTCCTAAGAATACTGCACTCGAGAATTTACAGCAAAATAGAAGTACAACAGTGTAAACACAATTTGGTTTCAGAATCAACCTTGGAACCAGATAAGCACTCTGCAGTTTACAGGTCACGGTTCAAAGATGTAGGGATATAGAACAATTAGTATATATGTGTTTTATCGACTTCTAAAATGCCTTTGACCGAGTAAACCATGACAAACTTATAGGTATCTTGCAACAGGTGGGAATTGATGACCGAGACCTCCGTATTATCAAAAATTCGTATTGGCATCAATGTGTAAACATACGAGCTGGACACAACACGACGGAAGCAGTAGAAATACGACGTGGAGTGAGGCAAGGATGTATTCTATCGCCTCTACTTTTTAATATCTACTCGAATTTATTTTCAAGGAAGCCTTAGTTGAAGATACAGGCATTAAAATCAATGGAATTAATGTCAACAATCTCAGATATGCAGACGACACGGTACTTATTGCCTCCAATGAAGAAGACCTGCAACGACTTATAAACAGGTAACCGAAGCATGTGATGAATATGGGCTAAAACTTAATACTTCTAAGACAAAACTTATGGTTGTCAGCAAAACGGAGTTACAACCATCGAACATCAGAGCGTATGGAATAGAGTTAGAAAGAGTCCACAATATTACCTACTTGGATGCAAACGTTAACGATAACTGAGATATAAAAGAAATAAGAATACGCATTGAAAAAGCCTGAGCAGCCTTCTATAAAATTAAAGAAAATTCTAATTAATAGAGATATTACGTTAAACCTTAAAATCAGATTAATACGCTGCTACATATTCTCCACATTGCTGTATGGTATGGAGAGCTGCACCCTTACAGAGACATTAATGAAAAAATTAGAGACTTTTGAGATGTGGATTTATCGACGGTATTGCGGATAAGCTGGTTGATCGAATAAGAAATGAAATAGTTTTACATCGAATGAAAAAGAGCACAGAAATAACAAAAACGATAAAAATTCGAAAGTTACAATATTTCGGTCATGAAATGAGACATCCAGAGAGTTATTACCTTCTACACCTCATAATACAGGGTAAAAATCGCCGGAAGAGAGGCCCAGGCCCACGAAGAACATCCTGGCTCCGAAACCTCAGATTTTATTTATCGTATGGCACTTGACACATTTACATTGAAATTTACACATAATTTGTATAAAACATAATACATATATGTTTACAAACGAACATCTAACTTATTTATATATTTTATCGACTCTGGAGTCGCCATTAGGAAATCTCTGACCTGCCTTGATAGGATCTTGTGGGACACTGTTCTGTGATGTGACAGATGGTTTGTGGTTGTCCGCAGTCACAGAGTGGGATGGTCGTTTACCCCATTTGTGCATCATATAACCGCATCTGCCATGTTTGGTTCTGATTCGGTTCACATAGTCCATGTGTTGCGTGGTAAGTCAAAACCTAGTGGTTTTGTGTGATGCAGGTAAGCTGCTATTTTGTTGTCCATCCATTCTCGAGTCGAAGTGGTCGTTAAGTTGAACTCATTTTCCACTGCAGTCTGTGCCGTTTTTATTGGCGGTCGCCTGGAGCGCAAACGGTTACCGTTGGCAGCATCTATATCTTGATGAATTGGCAGGGTCTCGTTGCTAAGTATCTTTGGTACTCACTAGTGAGGGAGTGTATACGCCGTAGTCTGGGTGGTGGAATGTGGCTCAGGACTGGAAGCCATTGCGTAGGGGTGGATTTGATAACACCAGCAATCATTCTCATTGTGTTATTCAATTGGGCATCTACTTTGTGTGTATGTGGGCTGTTGCGTGAAGAGCAGTATTCCGCGGTTGAGAAAACAAGGCCCAGGGCAGATGATCGCAAGTGGAAGCCGATGCTCCCCATTTTGTGCCGCACAGCTTCTGGATGATGTTGTTTCTGGATTTAAGTTTTTGCGCCTTTTTTGACGTGTTCTCAGATCTAGAGAATGTATCAAGACAACGCTAATTTATTAGAGGGGACAGGAACGACATAAAGAAAGAGAGAGAAGTCTCTCAATTGTATTTTAAAACACGCGTTTTTGCATATTACAAATGACAGTGCCAGTCTACAGGAAGCTAAAGAATACTGCCAGTCTTAAATAAAACTTTTCACTATCAACTTTATACGTTTTAAGATCCACATCGATAAAATCCTTGGCAACACCGGTGGCGTCGTTGCCAAGTCTACGATGGCAATCACACGTAGGAAACGCTTTTAAAAATTTTTAATTTATGTAATTGAAATAGTAAAATATTTTGGCGGTCCAGTTTTTGACTTTCATTATAGTTAAAATTGTATTTTTGCTTGTCTTCGCCAGTTCTTTCAATATTGCTAGTAACTTTTCAGCACAGCGGACCATGTAAGTTAAAGCTTTTCATCCCTAATCCAAAATAATCGCAAATTCGTGAACTGTACTGTAGTTATATCGTTTCTTTAAAGTCATTATCATAACCATTCTTCCTCACATTTTCAAAATTTTGAATATTAATATTTAAAATGTTTATTTAAAATATTAAATCATTCTCTAACAAATATCTTTATCATTGTAGCTTTGAATTTCAGCAAGTCTACACAAAGTATAAAAATAAATATTAAACAATATAAAGTAAATGTTAATAAATCAGATATTTATTGTTATTACTTGTAAAACGTAAATGAAATCTTATTGTCCTATTATTTTAAAAATGAATACGTAGATTTTAGTTAAATTATTAGCAACACGTTTTATTGTCCTAGACCTTGAAAATTGTGGATCACACTATTATAGTTATTTATAGCATGTAAAGATTAACTTCTCTATAAAGCCTTATCAGCATATTCTTTCTAATAACGTATGTCCTGAAAGTTTTGGCACAAAAATATTTCTCGATGTTTTTTTTTAATAAAGAAATTTAGAAATTAGTTAAACACTAACTAGTTATCCTAAAATTATACTTAACTAAACTATACTATCGAATTATGTGGAGTGACCCATCCTGCTCTTCTTCTTCTTCTTAAGGTGCCGTCTCCATTACTGAAGTTGGCTATAACTACAGCAAATTGCTCTCTATCTTGATCTGTTCTTAGTATCGAATGTGTCCATCATCTCTGCCACTGGTCCAGACCTCTTCTTCCTTCCACTTTCCTTCCATTATAAGTCGTAGGAAGCTTGTATTTTTCTCCTCTGTAAATATGTCCTAGATAACTCGTTTTTCTGTTTTTTACAATACTTAGGAGTTCTCTTTCAATGCCCATTCTTCTTAGCACCTCGTTGTTGGTCACGTGCTCTGTCCAAGAGATCTTCAGCATCCTTCGAAAAACCCACATCTCAAAGGCTTCTATACGCCTCATACTTGTAATTCCGAGAGTCCATGTTTCCAGTCCGTATAGCAATATGGAATAAATAAACGTTTTTTACAAATTGATATCGGATATCCAACGATAACGTAGAGTTTATTAGGAATTTTTCATTCGTTGAAATGCGGACCTAGCATATTCTATACGAGCACGTATTTCGACTTCGTGGTCAATATCGTTTGTTATCCAGCAACCAAATACTGGAATCTTTGTACTGGTTCTATATGTTTGTTATAGATACGAATATTAATGTCGACATTTAATGCACGTGTAACAGCCATTACTTTTGTTTTATTTGTGTTTATATTTAGTCCCAAGCTATATCCCTCTCTGGTTATGACATTCAAAAGTCGATGGAAAATATTTTCGATGGCATTTTGAAAGATCTTTTCGGAATAAATATTAAATAACAGTGGAGAAAGTACACAGCCCACAGCCCTGACGAACGCTTCTTTTTATTGGCAATTCTGCTGTCAGACGATTGTCTATTTTGATCGACGCCATTTGATCCCAATATAGTTTTTTGCTTTTAAGTGCTACAGTGTTATGATCTATACCATGTTGTGTTAGGGTTTCTATGAGTTCTGTATGTTTTCTCGACCAAATGCTTTTTCGTAGTCAATAAAACAGAGAAACACGTCTTTTCGCTGATCTCGGCATTTTTGTAGTAATATCTGGAGGCCAAATAATGCCTCCCTTGTACCAAGCCCCATACGAAATCCAAATTGATTGTCGCTCAGGTTTCTTTCGCATTCTCTGTATATTCGTTGATGTACAATTTTGAGTAAAATTTTCAGAAAATGGCTCATCAGGCTAACTAATCTGAACTGTAAGCATCTATTTGCTTTATTTTTCTTAGGTATAGGTATAAATAATGGTCTAAGCCAGTCTTCTGGGAAGATTCCAGTGGTATTCTTTTTCAGTGCCTTATCCGGTCCGGATGTTGGCGATATATACAGTGGTATATATTTTGTTAAATACTACTTTTAACGTTTGAATATTTTCTTCATTGATAAGCTTTATCATCTCTACGTATATTTCATTTGGACCTAAGGCTTTTCGTGGCTTTGCCATATTGATTGTTTTTGTAACTTCCGATGTTAATATATCAAGTATTGTTTCTTGTACTATATTTATTTGTGATTCTGTTCTCTCGTCATCAAACAGATCTTTGACGTATTTTTCCCACATATCTCCTACATTTTCTGGACTAGATACTATTTGGTTGTTATCATCTACTAAAGTTGTAGTGATTTTTTTCTTCATATTTGTGACTTCCTTAATCTTTTTGTAGGTATGCATTAAAGTAGTCATGCTTTTTTAGGAAATCCCCCAGTTCCTCACAGTTAATATTCATCCATTTTTTTTGGCTTTCCTAATTTTGTTTCGAATGATTCTCTGGGTTTCTTTATATTTTTCTTCATTGCGATTTTTGTAAGATTTCCTTATGTCCATCAGTTCTAGGACTTCTTCTGTCATCCATGTATTCTTTGTTTTTCTGATATTGTCTTGTAGTTGTTCTCTTTGTATAAGTAGTTGTGATTGCTCTCTGGAAAGGTGTGCCAAATACTTTCTATTATTTATTCGAGGCTAGATTTTATTTTCTCTCTGTATTTGATTTTCTTTCGTTTAATTGAAATTTTACCAACAAGAGGATTGTGGTCGGAACCGATGTCCGCCACGGGATATGTTTTAACTCCCCTGATTCCATTTCTATCACGTTTGTCAATTAATATATAATCAATCTGGTTTCTTATTATGCGGTTTTGATTATCGCCAGGTGCTTTCCATGTATATAATCTTCTTTTTGGTTGTTTAAACCAGGTGTTCGCGATCATTAGATTTTCTTCTTGGCAAAATTGGACCAGTATTTCTCCTCTATCATTTCTTTGGCCCAAACCAAAGTTTCCTACTACGTCTTAGGTCCTCCCTTCACCTACTTTGGCATTAAAATCTTCCATAATAATGTTTACAGCATTTTCTTTGTTATCTTCATTAGCTGTTTGATCTCGTGGTAGAATTCTCTTACTTCTCTTTCTGTTTTTTTCTGCTGTAGGAGCATATACTTGAATAAAATTAATATTACGAGGAGTTGTATTAATTTTCAGCATAGCTACTCTATCAGATATAGGTATAAAGTTCTTTATACATTTACTGCTTTTTTGGTCAACTATAAATACCTTCTTCTTCTTTAGTGCCGCGCACCTATAGTTCGTTGGCGAATTATCTTAAGGCCAGACGCCTGTCTTTTGCGGCATGCAAAAGATCGCCAGTGTTATTTATGCCTTTATGTTCTTTATGTTTCGTAGCCACGACATTTGTTTACGACCTACTTCTCTCTTGCCTTCAATCTTTCCTACAAATGCCACTCCGTTATAATGATGAGGATCGTCATTACCAGCATAGTATATTACATGATTATGTTTGTCTGTCCAGATCCAGGCCATCTAACTTCACTGACTCCGAGAATGTGAATTCTGCTCAACCAGGCGTCAATTTCTTCCAACGTCTCTCATTAGGTATTGGAAGGAATTCAGCTCCTACATTAACTATCCCTTTTTAACTAAAAATTATAATGGTTCTATCGTACTTCTTGCTTCTTCTGCTCTTCATCTAGTTCTAATATTCGTAAATATCAAATGACAAGTACTACAATTTGTCAAAACTAGGAATGACTGAAAATCCTACGATTGACACGTCTACTTAATGAGCAGCAAAATTACTGGAAACTTTCTTAGTAGTGTAAATAATCCCGACCTGTAAATTACGTTTAAAGATTAGGTAGTCGAGTCTCGCCATTCATACATCTCTTTTTTCTAAATAATTTCACTGTCTCTGCGCTGACGGGCAAAACTTCGAAAGTCATTCCTAGTCTTGACGAGTATTACTGAAAATGTTTGCACCTATTCTCCACCTAATAAGTAACATTGTTTATCTACAATTTTAAGGTGGAACGTACTACATGATATCCCGCAGCCTGGGACCAGAATTTGGCGGCTCGATCGGCCTAATTTTTTCATTGGCCAATGCCGTTGCCTGCGCTATGTACGTCGTGGGTTTCTGTGAATCCTTGCAAGATCTTTTGGAAGTATACCACTTAAAAATCATAGATGGCGGCGTACACGATATCAGGATCATTGGAAGCGTCACTATTGTGGTTTTAACAATAATAGTGGTGTTCGGGATGGAGTGGGAAGCAAAAGTATGTTGGGAAAATAAAAAACATGCATTATTTTCTTTTTATTTGCTTATTAAAATACAAGTTGATAAGAATCTATTTTAGGCACAATTTGGACTCTTGGTGATCCTGGTGGTTGCCATTATAGATTATTTTGTTGGTTCCTTTATTGGTCCAAGATCACTCGAAGCTAGAGCGAAGGGTTATGTAGGCTATAATGGTGAGTTAAAGAAAATAGGACACTTAAAATTATAAGTATTACCAATAATTTTCTTCTGGAAATTTTCATGTATTCAGATACTATGTAGAGCCTGGCGTCCTGTATAAGAATTTAGTTGCGACATTTTCCCCTTCTCCGTAATACAAAGTTATCGTTTACTAATTGTTATTCAAATTTTAGCTACCCTAGCATACCACAATTTGTTTTCTGACTATAGATTGTCTGAAGGTGTTTCACACAATTTCTTCAGCGTTTTTGCTATATTTTTCCCCGCTGCCACTGGAATTTTAGCAGGAGCTAATATATCTGGTGATCTAAAGGTAAATCTATACATATTACACCAAATACACACTATTGATGATATGTAATGTATTTAACTGATTTATATTGCATTTAATAATTATTAATTGATGTTTTTAGGATCCTTCCTCGTCCATTCCCAAAGGAACTCTATTGGCTATATTAATAACATCCATAACTTATATTATAATGGCGGTAATAGCTGGTTGTACTGTTCTGAGAGACGCCACTGGCAACATAACAGACTATGCAAATGGCAGTTGGCCTTTGTGCCATCCTGGTGAATGCCAATACGGTTTACAAAACAATTTTCAGGTAAATATTAAACTAAAAGCAAATTTTGTATAACACAAATAAAAAAACAAAAAAATGTATCGTCTTCATAAATATTGTATCTTTCATTATAATTATAATATATTATACTATAAACATAAATATAATATAAATATTATAATCGTATCTTCATAAATATAAGGCAAAGAAAAAATATTCGAATGTTCAAGATGTTTTCAATATTGATTCGCGATGAGGTGTTAATGACAGTTAACACCTCAGCGCGAAGCTGCAGCTCCATAAGCAATATGCAAATGTATACAATGTTTAGAGGTATAGTGAGCGTATGCGAGAACTGGAAGTTTTAAGCACCATGAATTTTGAATATTTTGAGCATTATGCGCAACAAAAATTACTCAACTAATAATGCAATAAATATATATATGAAAATAAAAGATTGCATTTTATTTCAATTCGAATACCACCATTGTTATACACGTGTTTTGAGTTATTCAACTCTCATCAGGAACTCTTGTGGAAGGTTAAACTGAAATGAATGTAGTCTAGTATTTAGCGGTTATGGTAACAAAATAACCGTCTGAGTACGCTAGCAGCGGCATGTACCCGGGGTCAGGAAACCTCTCTTCGGTAGCGATGTTCAAGTGTTCCTGATGAGAGTTGAGTAACTCGAAACACGTGTAGAACAATGGTGGAATTCAAATTAAAATGAAATGCAATCTTTTACTTTCATTTTAACTTATTTTCCCTGCCTGAAGAGTGAAAAAGATAGTGTCTTCAAGGGTGAATTGTAGACGCATGTCGGAGTGAATCCGACACAAATATGATATATAATCAATTATATACAGATTGAACCAAATTAAAACGGAACATACAATTTAATACATGTCTGTTTGGACTGCATTTGAAATAGTGGACCAATATAAAACTTGGACAGAAATAAATCCATACCTGGGTATAGAAATTGTATAAAATATCGTTCAACTATCTGTCTCGCAACAAAGTTGTTTGAGTAAGACGGGTTTGTCTAAAGAGGCCATAATAGTTCAGGAAATGAAGCTCGAAAAAAGTTAAAACCTCGCAATTTTTTCGTCCTGCATGTATCCAGTTGAAATTTTAACAGAAGGTAGGTGATAGACCAAGGATCAAAATCTATATCGAACCGAAGTGCGCTGAAGGGTTTTAGGGGTGAAAACTACCCCTAATTGTCAAAAATTATAAAATAACATATTAAACCTGAATATGGGTAAGATTTGGTTTGAATTAGTTAAATAATGATTATTTTATACTTTTAAATAGAGTTCCATCATATTTCAACCCTTAAAAAGCAACCCTTGTTAGAGATTAATGTAAAAAAATTACTAATTCCAAAAAAATGATTTCGCCTTGGATCGATTTGGATAAAAATTTGGATTTAAGCTCAATTCACCCGCTGCTTTATAGTTTATGTCATGTCGACGAACCCTGATTGTTCTTAGGGGTGAAAACTACCCGTAATTGTCAAAAATTAGAAAATAACATATTAAACCTGAATATGGGTAAAATTTGGTTTGAATTAATTAAATAATGATAGTTTCGTGCTTTTAAATAAAGTTCCATCATATTTCAACCCTTAAAAAGCGACCCTTATTAGGGATTAAAATAAAAAAATTAGTAATGCGAAGAACATGATTTTACCTTGGAACGATTTGCATAAAAATTTGGAATTAAGCTCAACTCACCCTCTGCTTTATAGTTTATGTCATGCCGATGAACCCTGATTGTTCTCAGGGGTGAAAACTACCCTTAATTTTCAAAAATTGTAAAATAATATTATAAATCTTAAGATGAGTGAAATTTGGTTTGGATTAGTTAAATAGTGATTTTTTTATACTTTAAAATACAAATTCATACATTTTCAACCCTTAAAAATCAATTGTTATGAGTGCTATAGGTAAAAACAATTTTTTGCCAAAATTTTGCAACTTTTCAACTTTTGAAAATCACCCTTTACAACGTTGCAGTTTTTATAAACTAATTTATAAGATATAAATTGAAAAAAGTAGAATTAATTACAAAAAAATTTATCAACATAAAAAGGCTCCATATATTCTTATACATTTACATAAATAGTTGAAAATATTTACATTTATAGGTAAAACAATTATAATATTAATTTTATTCGTCATCAATTACATCTTCATCGTGATCTATGTCATCCTCATCTTCAATTATTGGTGGACTATTATTGCACCCTTCACCTGAGCACCCAGAACAAGTAGAGTTACAGTATAAACCAACTTTTCTGCACCCACATGAAACACCGCATCCTTTTTTGCATTGCCAAAAAATAATTTTCAAAAGTTCATCGAGTGCAGGTTGTTTGTTCATGCGTACGGGTAATAACAAACCATCTTTGGAATACCATCCCCAATCTGTTGCTCTAATATTTTCATTGCCAAGCCATAGACATATGAGCAGATGTTTTATTCTGTTGTATGGGATTTCAAAATAAGAACGCTTAAAATTTCGAATGTATAACGCCCCACTAGCTAATATACCGGTTTTGTAGATTAGTATGCTCCGAAATGTACTGTACTATACTAATGGAATTTTCCGGAAAAAAATTCACTTGTTTTTTTAACGTATTTCCTTTAATTTTTAACGATAGAGTGTTTCTTCAAAAACGATTTGTAGAGGTTTTTAAGAGCTACAAGGATCTGTGTTTTAAAAAACCCTTGTTTTTTAAATGGGGTGAGTTTAAAGGGCTCGAAAAAGATGGTGCTTGATCGTAAATCGATGCTTTAAACGGCTATATCTCGCCAAATATTCATTGTACAACAAATCTAAATAAAGGATAATTTTAGTCATTAAAAAAGCTACAATTTGGTAATTTGTATTTTTTTCATATATTCAGTATTTTCGGGCATATTTAAAAAAAGAAGGGTAAAAAATATGAAATTGTAAATCGTTTCTCGCTTTAAGCTGTACTTTTTCTAACACAAAGCATTTTAAATGGGTCAAACTTCTTGGACGTATTAACAATACATGTACAAAGGGAATTTCAGAAAGGTGAAGATCGATTTTAATTATGGGTGTGGTTAGGGGGTAGTTTTCATCGATTTTTTCGTAAAAAATGAGGTATTGACCTTATTTTCATTATAACTCACTCAATTTTTGAGCTAGAGTCTTTTTTATGATAGGTCTATTTATGCTCTTTAAAAAAATGTTTTGTGAGTTTTCTTCCAAAAATGCATCATTTTCCCGATATTTGATTTTGAATCTTTCAAATTTGGCATTTGAAGAAAACCGCTGAACATTGATAGGCCGTATTTCGGTTCCTATTATATCGCAAAAACATTTTAAAAAATGAATTGTATTTGTCTTTTTAAAAGCTACAAATTTGTTCTCTACAATTTTTTTGATAAAATGCACCATTTTCGAGTTATTCGCGAAAAATCGATTAAAAACGTGGATTTTTTCGTCTAAAAGTTATTACTTTCAATCGCGAATAACTTGAAAAATATCATTTTATAAAAAAAATGTATAGCACATTTTTTGTTTAGAATCACTTTTTTTAATCGAAACTTGTAGTTAAAACGTAAAAAAAAATTTCACTCCGGAGATGGGGTGGTAACCACCCCCTAGGCTTTGGCGCACTTTGGTTCGATATAGATTTTGATCCTTAGGCTATTACCTACCTTCTGTTAAATTTCAAGTCAATACACGAAGCACGAAAAAATTGCGAGGTGAAATGCTTCATTTCCTGGACTATAACTGGTTTGACAGCATAATAAAATCGTAGATTTATGTGTAGCTTTCAATTTTTATGAGTTCAGAATCCAGCAGCCCGCTGAATTATGGGATTTTTATAATATAATTATTTGGCAATCTTTTGTTGGCCAACCACCTACAGCAGAATTGAGCCGAAATACATTATATTCCTATGTTCCGAATTTATTTCGTTCAATCTGTATAGTCAAAAACACTAATGATGCGTGACAATAGTGATGGAAACACTAATATTTTAGGTAGTAGAACTAGTGTCCTGGGTAGGACCCATTATTTATGCAGGCTGCTTTGCAGCTGCTCTATCTTCGGCTCTCGCGTCTTTAGTATCGGCGCCGAAGGTCTTCCAAGCTTTGTGCAAAGACAAGCTGTACCCCTGGATACTTTGGTTCGCGAAAGGTTATGGAAACAACAACGAACCGTTGAGAGGATACGTTTTAACGTTCATCATAGCTGTAGCTTTTATATTAATCGGTAAGAACAATTTTTTCCATTCGTGATGAACGTTTAATGGGGTTAAAAAATAATTGTATGTAATTATAGAATTGTTTGTTTTGTTTTAGGTGAACTAAATTTGATTGCGCCGTTAATTTCAAATTTCTTCTTAGCAGCCTATGCGCTCATAAACTTCTCTACCTTTCACGCATCGTTGGCCAAACCAGTAGGCTGGAGACCGACATTCAAGGTATGTACATGTATACATCATGAGTATAGGGCCATAAAGTTGTAACATAACTAATGTTTCAGTATTACAATATGTGGCTCAGTCTGCTGGGAGCTATGCTCTGTGTGGTTGTGATGTTTCTGATATCGTGGATAACAGCATTAGTGACATTTGCAGCAGTTCTGTCACTGTATTTGATTGTAGCTTATAGAAAGCCAGGTAGGTAATAATATTTAATTATGTAATATCCAATAATATAATAATTTTTAACCAAAAATTACTTGAAATATATCGTTAAATGTCCGGGTGTCAAAAGACAAATACCGATATGAATGTGACGCTCAAAAAAGCATCCAACCATCATATAAGAAATGTAGTGGTATGACTTATTACGAAAGATTATTTACCAAGAAAACAAACTGGCACTTCTACAAATCAGAGTTCTCCTTATTATCAATAAGTCCCTGGCAGTATGCTTGAAAATAATAACTACAAGTTACACTGAGAGCGCACTGTATTCACAGACCCACCAGTAGCACAAAATAGATCGGATTTCATACTAGTTAATAAACTAACTAGACAAACATAATCTGTACACTAAACATATCGAAAAGATAATCAATTACAGAGATCTTAAGATACAAATAAGGAGAAAATGGTAAATGAGAAACACCGTGACGATAGCTATTATCTTCTCTATAGTGTATTTTTATGTATGAGAGAGTAATAAAACAATAAATTATATATGCAAATCCCTAAGCTGTTGATACGGGTGACTCAATGAAAAACAGATATTTGTCAACAAGTTTACAGGAAGTATATAGGAAAACAATTTTAAATTGAGTATGACCACCAGGTATAAAGGATGGAGCAGAATAGAATACAATACTTGTGAGGGTTACTAATCCCTAAATAAGGTTGCCAGTGTCGGAGTGATGGAGGTTAACAGGTACTAATGAATTTGCAAGAAATGTAAGATGTTTATTTTATTGGTTATATATAACCAATAAAAGTTTAATAAGTACCTACCTATTTTGCAAAATAAAGTTTAATTCTTTAGATAAAATAAAACGTTTTATTTTATCTGAAATGAGTGCATTCCACGAAGTAAGGGTTTTCAACAAACAAAAATTTAATTCTTTAATTCCAGGAATCTACGACAGTAATTGACTAGATAATTACCTTCTAAACTTATTCCACAGAAAATGTGATAGTGGGTTTTTCCATTTTGTAGGAAGGTCCAAGTGGCGTATTCAAAATTCTTAACAGTTCACTAAAAGTAGGTACTTCAGTTGCAAGGTGCAGTTTATTGTGTATACTAGTGTTATGGAAAATTTGGAAGTGCCGTGTAAACGCCGAAAAATTGGTCCTTTAACAGTTAATGAAAAAACATTAATATTTAATTGTTTTAAATCATTTACAGACAAACGTTTATGTGAAAGTGTTGATGAGACCGTTGAGTTAGTTAGCAGTACACTTGGTGTTGGGAAATCTACGATTTACAGAGTTATTAAAGAGAGAGAATGTGGTAGTTTTCAAATGCCACGTAATGCTCCAGGGAAACAAAATTTCAAATAGAATATCATTTTAAAGAAGGACTTCGACGGAAAGTGCATGAATTCTTCTTTAGACAAGAATTTCCAACATTGGATAAAGTTCTTGTCTCAGTTCGAGATGATAAGGATTACCCAGAAATGAGTCGAAGTACGTTATGGAAACTTTTAAAAGAAATAGGCCTCCGCTGGAAAAAGAATCCCAGAAAGTCTCTTTTATTAGAAAGAAGCGATATTGTCATATGGAGAAGACATTTTCTAAGAACCATAAAGGAAATGAGAAATCAAAAAAGAAAAATATTTTATCTTGATGAAACATGGATCAACGAGGGTCATACACCAAATAAATTTTGGCAGGATAAAACTGTTACAAGTCAAAGGCACGCTTTTGTAAATAACTTATCTACTGGTTTAAACCCACCATCAGGAAAGGGACGCAGGCTGATAATAGTACACATTGGCAGTTCAGACGGTTTTGTTGAAGGTGGTTTATTAACTTTTGAATCAACTCGTACCGGTAACTACCATGAAGACATGAACGCTGATGTCTTTCAAGAATGGTTCGAACAAATGATAGATCTTCTTCCTAAGAACTGTGTAATAGTAATGGATAATGCAAGTTATCACTCCAGACTTATAGAAGGACTGCCCACAACCAAGTGGTTAAAAAAAGACTTGCAGAATTGGCTGAGCTCAAAAAATATTACGTACCATCCGGATCTATAAGAAAGAAACTTTATTCGTTGTGTGCCCTTCATAAAGAAAAATTTAAAAAAATACGAAATTGATGAAATTGCCAAAAATCTAGAATGACAGTACTTAGATCCCCACCATATCATTGTGAATTAAACCTGATTGAACTGGTATGGGCACAGATAAAGAGTGAAGTTTCAAGAAAAAATACCACTTGGGAAAAGGCAGTAAATCACACTATTAAAGAAGAGGAAAAAATGTGGAAGCTGGACAATATTACTGATAAAATGATCAAGCCAGTTATTATAAATCTTGGTTCTGAAAGTTTATCTTCTGAATCTGATTTGGATTTGTAACAAGTAGCTGTAAGTTTTATATTAATATTTTTATTCATCTATTTAACATACCTTAGACGGTTTTAAAAACTCTTTTTCTCTTTTGTAATTTTTAAAAATTAAAAAAAATGTGAATTTTTTAAAACCCTTTTTAATGTAGGCAGTCAGTTCTAATATAGTGTGCGATAAAAGAGGTCACTTTTGTTTACATACACATAACACTTTATATACACTGAAATAATTCATTTATTTTTTACAATTATTCAAAGTAATTTTTCAATTAATCTTGAGCACGCCCATGGAGTGGTCGGAGATACCAATTAAAATTATGCTAAATTACTCTCTCGTTCATAAAAATAAACTATAGTACTAGTGTTATTTGGAAGAACCTTCTAAAAAATATCAAACAGATGAGTCTTAGTAAAAATAGTCGTCAAACAGATGAGTCTTGGTTCTAAAAGGACAAGCAAAAACTTTTGGCAGATACTCCAGCATTCTAGGTCACCTAGGACTCGATAACATGGAAAGAGTCCCCAAACGCCAACTTGTCATTCAGAATTAAAGACCAGTCAAAGACCCAAAAAGTGCAAAATGGCAAATGTCAGTTTAGATGTACAGCCCAAAAACGATTCAACATTTTTTCATGGGCAGCCAAGCATTTGTTGCAACTGATTATAAGTAACCGCATGACTCAGTAAGGAATATAGTCCATTAAGAACATAAACTAAGACTTCTCTAAATCAACTATTTTATACATTTATAAACGTATCCTTGCTAATATGGTTGAAAATTACAAGTACAGTGGAATGTACTGTGTGTACAGATCAACCAATGGCAGATAATAAATCATAGTTGATACTAATTAATTAACAACGTTATATTATATATTAAATAAAATGATAAAATCATCAAATTCAGATGCCTTGAACAAATAAAGTAAATAAAAGTAGAGTAAATAAAGTATACTGTGGTTAACAATGAAAGCCTTTAATTGATCTTTGTGTTATGATAGGCCGTTAGCATTCAAGATTGCCATCTTCAAAAACTTAGTTTACCCCTTCTGTTAAATTTTTAACATGTTATTTAATTCTGAAAAGTCGTTTTGTGGGCCTTCGTGATACGGCATGCTATTAAAGGTTTCCTGTTGTGTACTTCTCACAGCGATTGTGTAACTTGCTGAATCTTGGAGATTCGACTGATGGGGTTGTCTTATCGGTTGAGTAATATTCGCTTTTTCTCGGAGTAGGGGGTATGTGTTCATCAGTAGATCCTTGTATACGGGGCAACCTTTGTAATTAGCAGGGTGGTTGCCCTCGTATATGATATATTTCACGTTGTTTGTTTCTTTGATCTTTCCTTTCTGGGACACTGGTTACTTCCATGTTCGCCAGAATATTTGACACATCGTGGTTTTAGATGGCAAAGGTTCTTGACGTGTCCATATCTTTTACATCTAGCATACTTAGGTATTTCCCCTCTCGGTTTTGGTTCGATATTGATTTTCTGATTTAAAATAAATTTGATATGGTATATGCTTTTATTATTTATTGTCATTCTGCTTTAAATCAATTAATACTATGGGTAGTGTGGTTCTGTTTATAGCGCTTAACGTTTCATACATTTTCCACATCGTGTTCTACTTTTTTAATTAAGTTTTTATGTCGTTGACGTCCACTGAGTAGTGCATGTTTTTTATGGCAGTCCTAAAGCTCCGTTCTAGTTTTAGTTTAAATGTATGAAATTATGTGTTCTTTTCTATTAATGTCTTTTTAATGACCGTATAACTTCCTGAGTTCTTTGGTTGAATTTTAACGTGATCAAAATTTAATACTTTCATTTCATAACTGTCTTTGGCAACTTTTTCTAGTCTCTCGGTCAGCGAGATAGGTTACTTCCTTCTGATTTCTCGTCTTTTATGATCTGCTGTCTCCCACTGGTCATTTGGATTTGTCTGGGTTTGAGAAAGTTGAGGTTGGGACATTGCTATTTGAGGTTGTTGTGGCTGTTCGTTGACCATCTTGTAGTGCATAGCATACACCAGCGGTATATAGCCACTAAATAGCGCTAACTTGAAGAGCAAAAAAGTTAAGCGCAAATTTATCCCACGTGTGTGGCGTATGTGACATCCTCTATCCGCTATATCACAGTATGCATCAACTTATAATTCCTCATATTTAAAAGTTATACATACTGTTACACATTTTTATACATAAATGTCCACAAAAGTGAAAGTTATAGCAAAGAATATAGACGCTTATAAGCGTCTATATTCTTTGGTTATAGTGAAAAATAAAATTTTTAATTTCAACTTTAACACCCTGTATCTTTCTTAATATGAATATTTTATTAAAGCAAGTTGGCTTAAATCGTAATATTTGAAAGTGTTGAATCTACTGATTCTTTTTGTACAATTACTTATACAAGAAATGTTTGGTAGATACTCCAACACACCAGATCACCTACAGTTCAATAACATAAAAATTTAACTCTTTATAGAACAAAGTCTTTGTACCTTGCTCCTTGCTCAGTTTGAGGATGGTACTTTTTTATCGGGCCTTTTTTCACTTTTTTTTCCATAGATGCGACAGCTACCAATAATATAGTTATGGTATATATGATTTTGGTTATTCGATGCCGCAAGTAGGCTTCGAGTCTAATGTTAGGTTAAGATACTTCACTTGCGAGATTTAAATGTGTACCATTTAGGCTTAGATCACCCAATCACTCTAAATTTACCCTCCTGGTAAATTTTATTATTTTGGACTTCTGGGGGACTGTCACTATAGTCAGAGCCTGTTGCATTCTATCTCTGACTGTGTCATTCTACATTCTGACAGTCTGTTTGGCTTTTTCATAGTTTTTTTTTTAGATGTGAACTGGGGATCTACAACGCAAGCACAGATCTACAAAAATGCCTTACAAGCCGTTCATCAGCTAAATACAGTAGAGGAACACGTCAAAAACTATCGTCCTCAAATATTGGTACTTTCAGGAATGCCAAGTGCTCGTCCAGCTCTCGTAGACTTTGCCCATTTGTTAACGAAGAATTTGTCGATGCTAGTTTGCGGACACATCAACACGGTATGATTTATTTTAAATTATACAAATGTAAATTAAACAAAATATTGTATTCAAAATTTCTTCTTCGTCTTGCTGCACTTATCTGTAAATATTTTGCTGTATAACTAACTAAATAATCTTTTTAGAGCTCTCTTCCCCAAAGAGTAAGAAACGTCTTAAACTACAAAGCCAATAGTTGGCTAAAAGCGCACAAACTGAAAGCCTTTTACATGCAAATAGACGGTCTATCGTTCGAAGACGGCTGCAGGGCTTTGTTAAAAGCTTGTGGTATTGGAAAACTGAAGCCAAATATTCTCCTATTGGGTTATAAAAACGATTGGCAAACTTGTTCCAAGGAAGATCGTCATCAGTATTTCGAAATATTACAGTGAGTATATGTAAAATGTTTGGGAGAGAAATACACTTAGAAGACAAATTAGGGTTTATTCTATAAAGCCATAACAACTGGTATCATGGAGTTTATACAGTGCAATATGCAATATCATTCATTATAACTAATAACATTAATTATAACTTTTAGTAATGCTTTCGATCTGCATATGGGCGTGGGCATTATTCGAATTCAACAAGGATTTGAATTTCATCTTTCTAACGAAGACGACGCAAAAAGCACAGGAAACTTACAGAGGAATCAATCATACAGTCAAATGTCACAAGGTTAGTATTTTGAACACCAATTTCCTCTTTGCTATATCAAAAATCTTTTATTTGCGTTTTTTAGCAAGCAGTAGCAGCGGAAGTAGATCGATCCAGACAAACAAGGACATGGTGAGTGAAACGCCAAATCCGAATGGGTCTACCAAAAAAACGAAGTCTGTAACGGAGTCCATCTACGCCGCTGACGAAGATCAGTTGGACGTTAAGGAGCATATACCGTCTGAAATATTTTATTTCCAGAAGAAACAGAAGAAAGGGGGCACCGTAGATGTCTGGTGGCTTTATGATGACGGAGGTAATGGGAAAAACTCCCACGTTAATTTAATATATTTTTTTAAGTGTCTTGTCCACCTAAATCACTTACTTTATTCCCAGTGGATCTAAATATTGCCATGGTGCTGACTCCATGCCACCGGCGTTCATGGGCTAGGATGTTCTTCGTCATTCAGGACCACTTTTCCCTAATATTTTACCTGAATATTTTAGAAAATACAAACTTTTAACATGTTTTCAACATTCCTCTTCTTTTGTGACCCATTTAGGCATGAAATCGACTACAAAGATCTCTTTGCAGCCCAAAAAGTTATATTTTGTGACTTTTTACTCTTAAATCTAAATTTTTAAGTTTTTGCCATATGGAGCCACTACAAATACTCTTTTTATTCAGGAATCTACAGGAATCTACTCATCTACAGTTGTTAGTTGATCTGTTGAGATATTTTCCATTGGAAAAAATACATTCCTTTGAAATGTACAAAAAAGTAACAAACTAAAACTAAGTAAACAATATTTTCCTTTCAGGTCTGACTCTCCTTCTCCCATACATAATATGTATGAGGAAAAACTGGTCAGGATGTAAACTTAGAGTGTTTGCTTTGGCCAATAAAAGAAACGAGTTAGAGCTAGAGCATCGCAACATGGCGAGTCTCTTAGCCAAGTTTAGAATTGAATACAAAGACTTACAGATAATATCCGACATCACCACAAGTCCTCGGGAAAGTACGAAAAATTTCTTCGAGTTGCTGATCGCAGATTTCAGGCAGCAAGATCCAGACAGTCCTGATTCAGGTAATAAAACTTTTACTGAGGTTAAGTTAGGTCTTAATATATTTACAAAAAGTATATTTTTTGCTGAAAAGTCAAATTCATATCTAGAAAACTGAACTACCAAATATTATACCTATATGCAATTTTTTAGGTTATATTTCTGAAGCAGAGCTGCTAGCTGTCAAGGCGAAAACAGACCGCCATTTGAGGTTAAGGGAATTGCTTCTTGAACACTCCAGCGAGGCCAATATAGTCGTAATCACTTTACCAATACCTCGAAAAAATATTATTTCTGCACCGTTGTACTTGGCTTGGTTGGAAGTATTAACAAGAGATATGCCACCGATTTTGTTGGTTAGGGGCAATCAGACCTCAGTGCTAACCTTTTATTCTTAATTTTTTTTATACTTTTTTATTATATTAAGTGTACCATAACTAACGTTTTTAAGAAAACAATAAATAACAAATTTATTTATTCCTGTTCTTACTTTAGTAATAATGTTTATCAAAAATCCTCAATTCTTCCTCATGACGTGATAAATTTATTTAAGGAAATATCTAAGCAAAATAAAAGAGAATCAAGGCTTAAGTAATTAGTAGAGAATTTATTGAACATATTATCAAAATTGATAAATATTTACAGTTTATCTTAAACCTACGTACGTTTAAGCTTTCCGCTTCTAAGACCCAGCTTTTGCTGCCTGGCTTTATGCATGTGTTTCATCAAGAAGTACATAGCTGGGATCACACCTAAGAGTAAATAGAGCCTGAGGAATGTCGCGTAGTGGAATGTGAAATTGAAAGCGTTAGGCATGGACAGCGACCATCTGCCACTTTGTTCCATGAAAATCAAATTTCTGAAGAGGATGATACTTTCGCAACTAAAGCCTATTGGGTAGAGGACTATCCAGGCAGTGTAGCGCACCCACGTCAGGATTTTATTTTCTTTTTTGTATAATTGAGACATGTAGTATGGATACCTGAAAATAAAAATGTAATTCTTTCATCTCTTTTGGCATATATATTAACTTACACAACTGTTATTGAACTGAATTTAAAAAGAAATAGTAAAAATTCAGAAAATATACAAACATTACTGCACATGACTTTTTGAGAGTACAGAACTTGAAGATAGTAACTAGATTGTTGCACCAGTGTAACAATCTTGCAATGTGTATTTATGAATTGTTAAAGAACATTGAAATTGAATTGACAATTGAAATATAAATCGCAAACTTATTTCTGAATAAAATGAGCAAAAAAAGTATCTATCTATAAAGGATTTGAAATAAAAAAAGTTTTATCTACCTAATTATTTCTATGGCACTCCACGTCAAAAACAGATAGAAAGTAACAGGCATGAGCTGAATCCGTCTCTCCTGATCCAAATTGACCAACAGAACGAACAACCTTCCTTGGATCTGCAACCACGGCATCACTACGCCTCCTTTGACGTACCCGAACACGGGATGAAGGATTTCCAGGCATTGCATCAGTTGCGCGAAACATATCACAGGCCCTACGGTGTCGTAGACGTGCGGGAAAAAGTCAGATCCGTCTTTGACGTAGCGGATGCACATCACTGTCGATATGTACATAAAACATATGTACATAAATAAATTGTAAAAGGTGAGGTACACCTTCTTGAAGTCTTCTACAATAATAAAATTTCTTCATTAGTAATATAAAAAAGCCTAATTATACGAACATAAACAGTAAAGTAAACGCATTTATATAAATTCACAACATCGACTTATGTTAATAACTGTAAAACATCTTCTTCTTCTTATGGTGCCTATCCGTTACGGATGTTGGACACTAACATGGCTATTCTGACTTTGTTGACTGCTGCCCTAAAAAGTCCGGTAGTGGTTAAGTTAAACCACTTTCGCACTTGTGGCATTTTAAATTAATTACTATTTAACTGGGAATAAGCCACAATTAAAGATAAAAATACGTTTATTGACGTTTCAATTTCCACTTCGGAAATCGTTCTCAAAATACAAACAGTAAATTGTAATATATAATATCAAACATCGAGACGGTACTGTACATGAAGGAACTAAATTTATATCCAAGAAAAGCAATTAAAAGTATGTACGGAAATACCAATATAACGATTAAGATACAGTCAAACGAAACAAAACCATTCAAAACAAACCAAGAACTAAAAAAAGATTGTAGCATGTCACCAACGCTTTTTTATATATATTGACAGAATTATAGGAGAGTGCGAGAATAAAATAATATGATTTCATAACTATCTAATAGTGCATTATATTTTCCCTCCTTTTGGTGCACCCTGGGTAAACCAAATGAGCAATAACATGGAACTGCCAGACCGTCTTCCAGATCTCCTGGCGAACACATTACAAACAACTGTGCAACAAACAAAAAACGGCTCTTCTCAGCACCATCTGCCGAGCATGCCAAATAAACATTGAAGACAGTAGCCGAAGCAAGAGCGAATACATCAGCAAGTTTCTTGAAGAGAACAACATTGACATAACCACAGTTCAGGAAACACATACTGCTGACTCACTTAATCACCGACAATATGGGATTGCTTTCTACTGTTAAACAGATACTTACTCATCTCAAGAACTCTTCATATTGTCAACCGTAAAAACAAAATCACCATAGTTAATGTATACAAACTACCAAACGCAATACGGCCGCTATATGTGCTTCCTTCATTCCCGCATCCATCAATATACACAGGAGAGTTCAATAGTCATCACACTACACGGGGCTATAACCAATGAAACTTCCAAGACGAACAAGTAATTAAATGCGCGGACCTCAAGCATCTTAGACTTTTACACGATGCAAAACAGAATCCTACCTTTTTTCCGCTAGATGGATGTGGTTCCGCGACAACTCAAATCTAACATTTATATCCACCAAAGATGATTGCCCTAACCATGCTACCAGAGAAGTTCTTGATAATTTTTGAAAATCGCAGCATAGTCCAGTAATAACAGGTAGGTATAAGCATTATTATTCACATTAGTAATGGGAACTTTCGTAAACCAAACGAATAAGTATTAAGCTAAACTGGAGAAAGATATCGAGCCTAAGGTAGAAAAGTACGAAACATTTAATACACTTATATTCAGCTCTGCTAAAAAACTCATTCCAAACCAAATCCTACATTCCATACTAGACCGAAGAATGTAAAGACCTGTATGATTAATACAAGCAAACCAGAGACCCAAACGTAGGTGAACAACTTCTAGAGTTTCTGAATTCGCAAGAACCACCAGACGAAGAGAAAACTCTCGAAAACCTTAACACCATAGAACCTACTTCCTCCCGACAACTACAAGATATCGACACGCATTGCCCGGCTGTCCAAACTAGTTATAGAAAAAGTTCGTAAAAGAGAAGTACGATATCAGCTCAAAAAAATCAAAACTGTACATAAGCAAAATCTGACAACCATGAAGCAAATAGAGACCGAGGAATTTTTCAATGGACTAGACGTAATTAAGTGTCGCAAAGCTGCAGAAGTTGACAAGATATTTTCCGAATTCATAAAACACACTGATACAACAACTCGAAAGTGGCTCCTAGATTTCTTCAACTAGATAATGACGACGCAAAAGTTCAAACTACAGAGCACAAAACAGATGTGAAGAGCTATACCTGGAGTTTGTTGATATAAGGAAGGCTTGTGAAGAAGGCTTGTAGGGGAAAAAATGAGGTAGCTGATCCAATAATTTAAAAGCAAATATTTGTAAATCTATATGCTCACCTATAATTGGTAGATAAAATATAAATATAAATCTCGAAGAACCAGCGACCAATAGGTCGCAAAATTCCGGATAAGTAATATTGTAGAGAAATTGAAAATAGAATAATTAAAATGAGACTTCCGGTAGAAATATTTTTATTATATGATTTACATAAATAAATAGCAGTATGGGAATTGCAACAAATCGCCCTTTGCAATGATAATAAAATACATAAGTGTTCATATAAAATATTCTTAAAATACACTAACGTTCATATTAAGTGTTCTTAAAATTAAACAAATAAGATGTATAGAGCAAAAAAGTTTAGCTGTATATTCGGCAACCCTGTAATTTATCGGACCGGTCCTTATGAAAGACGGGCAAAAAAAACTTGATTTCTTCTGTATTTATTGTAATAGCAGCTACCTATATATTTTATGTCCTAACACTGAATTTTATGAAAATAAATATTTAATAGAATTAAAGTTAAACTTGAAATCTACTTCTATTTGAGAACCGTGAGAAGTATTTTCTTGCTTCTAGAAGCCCAAAGAGGGAGTCTGACTAGCGTGCTTCTATTTGAGAAGAAAAAGACGAAGTGTTTTAGGGCAATAGGGTTTGAATAGAATAGAATAAGAATAGAATAAAATGTAAAAACTGAAAGACGCATGAGATATGATACAGCAGAAATAAGGCCTGCTATGCTGATCGTAAAGGTCTTTAATTTCGTAAATGCAACAAGGAGCAGGTCTATATCCCTTGATGTTCATAATATTTATGGATGAAATAATCACGAAAGCAGGCAGCGAGCGAAACCGTTATACATAAGATACCGTATTCTTAAAACAGTTGACATTCATGAATTAAAAGGAAGTTATATAATGCCAGTTCTATATATATATATATATATATTATATATATATATATAATATATATATATATATATATATATATATATATATATATATATATAGAAACAGATGTTAAGCAGCAAAATTTGATGAAAAAAGGAAGGAGTCAAGGGATAGCAACTGGAAGGAAAAAAAAGACAGAAAGTTATGGAAACAAATAATTGATCAACCTGGACCTACTAGATCGTAAGCTTTATTTGATCTGCAAAAATATATAGAAATGTACAAAAACTACGCTATACAAACCAAATACATTATTAAAACACGTTGAACTTGTAATTTTTTCCATAATATTCACTGTGTTTAGCTTCACGACTTGCAATTACCTTAACAGTGTCATTACTATTTTTTCGCAGTTTGATACAAATTCTAATAATCACAAATGGTATGTTAAACATCACTTTGTAATTTCCAATGCATGTAATTGATAACGTGGCACACATTTTTATATCTTATACTTTTAAAATTACTATAAATATCGAACGCAATATTTAAATAACATATGTTCCGAACGCATAAAATGATACGATAACGAATTCGCTTATGTCGAACCAATACGATAAAGTACTCAATACAGTTTACGTAATACGTTTGAAAAGGAGAAAAAAACAATTCTGTTTTAGTATAATTCACTTGTATGGAACGCTTAAATTATTTAAAACAAATAGCTAATAAGTGCAATTACAAAATTTGGCATGTACACTTCTATTGCCTGCCATTATTTCTAGCTTGTATTTCTTCATTAATGTTAGGTTTTACGTGATATTATTGCACCTAGGTATGTAAATCTTTTTATCATGTTGAATTCGTATGATGATCCTTCTTCTACTTCTACTTTTGTCCATCCTGAACTGATCATCCTGTCCACTGCGATAGATTTTGTTTTAGTTTCATGTATGGTAAAGTCCCATTTTCTTCGTTGCTTCTACTATTCTCTGTTCTATCTCCTGTAGCTCCTTTTTTTCCTCTTGCCAGCAACATCTACATCATCTGCAAATGCCAAAACTTGGTGTCTTTTATGATATTAGGAGTCCTTCTCTATTGATTTTCGCTTCTTGCATTATTTTTTTCTAGGCATAAATTGAAGAGTAATGACGACAAAGGATCGCCCTGCACTTAATCCTTCGTTTACTATAAATTTGTCCGATGAATGATTGTTTACTTTGACTCTGTTTTCTGTATTCTCTAAAGTAAGATGTATCATATTACGCAACTTTCTGCTAACTCCCGATTTCCTCAAGGGTCTCTTTTAATTCCTTCCTCTTTACTCTATCGTATGCTTGCCTGAAAGTCGATGAATAGCGCTATCGTTGGTTAAGTTGCGTTCATAGCTTTCTGCTTGTAATTCTACTGATTGCGAATACTTGGGTCCGTTGTGCTTCTCCCTCGTCTAAATCCGCACTGATATTCGCCTATTATATTTTCAACTTCTTTTTTCAAGTTATCCTTTATGGATTTTGATAGGATTTATATAAGTACGGTATTTACGTAGCTGTGTACTCCTCTGTAATTAATGCATTCTGTTTTGTCTCCTTTTTGTGTGTAATGGGCAAATAATTGCTTTCTTCCAATCTTCTGGTATTCGTGTTCTTTTATCCATATATCCTTTTATGATCTTGTATATCCAATTATTTAGCAGTTTTCCACTATATTTCATCATCTCTATTGTTATGTTATCGCTTCCAGGGCATTTATTGTTTTACAGATTTTTTATGATGTCCTCGATCTTGTTCTTTTTACTGGGTGAATTATCTTCTATGTCTTCTAAGTGTTCGATTGTTGCTTCTACTTGCTACTTGCTACTCTTTCTTTTAGTTTATTAATCTTTTATTATATATTTTCCTTTTCCGCACAGAGTATCTAATTAGTTGTATCTGCTCCTCCATTCGTTATCATGCTAGCTCTATTTGTTTTAAGTTCCGTCTCCCAATCGGAGGTTGAATATCATCATCGCTATCTTCACTCCATTTTTATTGTGTTTATTATCTCATATTCTTTCTCGTGTC